TAAGTGTGAGATAACCTTTTGACCATCAAGAGGAGGGTTAAACATGGCTTTGTTAACTGTCTGTTAGAAAGAACTTGACTGCCGGGTTTGCTAGTAGAATCTATACATGCCTGGATGTATGAGGCTACAATGTCACAGTGAAATTTCAAAAGCTAAATTTGGTTAAAGAAGGTTTATGCTCCTTAAATCGTATAATTCCTATGGCATTCTGTACACTCAGTGTGTTACATGTAACTTATGCCACTGCCAGTGGCCACTGCCAGTGCATGTGGTAGTGATAGTACTGTGTAGTTTTTGCTTGCAGCCTGTAGGCTTGCGTAGGTAAATGGATGAGTGCTTACCTATTCTGTCTTGCAAATAGTTGTTGCTACTACGTATGATGGGAGCTTCCATCTTTAATCTTAAGACACTTAAACGTACGCGCCATCTCGTGGCAACTTTCATAACAATCCCAACGAACATTCCTTCGAGAAGGTTCCTGATAACATCCCTGTGCCTTCCACTGTTTCGGCGCATATGTGAACACATTTGGTACTAACAGGGTTTACTAGAATCCCACCACTCCACCACAGAGTCACCGCAGTAGACGTTAGATGAGCGCTGTCGCTCCGCGGCACTTGTGTTACTTATCTGAGGTAAAAAGAAAACATATCCATTGATATATTGAAACAATTGTGTTATATATCAGGATGGTATTAATTTTAATGTTAATTGTTATTGGATGTTAATATTTTATTTTTGCCATGGGTGCCTATATTAAGCAGCTAGATTAGTCCATGGTTACCTAGTTTATATCAGGAAGATAGGCATGTAGGACTTGTCTCTTGGGACAACCCTATAAAAGAAATATGTAGACGTGAGAGCTGCCACCCTGTGATGGGAAAAGTGCACGATGAGTTGACAGATGTATAGCGTAGGCTGGTAGCAGGGATCTAGCGTGAATATGTGACCTCTCCTAGCTTTACATATATCTTAGGAGTTATCCGAAAGGCAAACCAATGGACGCTTTGGTTTCTGGAGTGAGGAAGCTCACAAAGAGTTTATAATACTAGGGATATATGGTCATGATAACCACATCTTGGAGGTAATATATACAGTGGAACCCCGATTTTACGAGGCCCGATTTAACACGAATTCGGATATAACGTGATGAGTCGTTGGACCCCCTTTTTTGCTCTAATATATAGCCACGTATATATAACCCTGATATAGTGCGACACCGCTTTTTTCACGATGACATTTTATGGGCCCCAACCATCGCGTTATAACGGGGCTACACCTGTATATATATATATATATATACTCAATACTTTTTCTAGTGCTTGCATGAAACTATAGAAAATTGGTGTACACTCTTTCTTAAGATTAAACCTGCTTAATTTTTAGTTTCCTATTTCTTCATCAGTCGCTGTTCAAGCCCCCTCCATGATGATAAAATATATGGTGATAAATGGTGTATTTGCATCCTTTTCTGCCTAACGTCAGCCAATAGGGGATTACTATTTTGATAAGTTAATTTTTGCCGAAAAAAATCGCAGTCTCTTCCATGCGTCATGTGTGGGTATATAATATGTTGATCTTGTCTATGCAACGCATCCATGTTTGTGTTCTTACACGATTCATTTCAAATGAGTGGCATCTCATTTCTTTGGTATTTAGTTGTTATCAGACGTGATTTCCTTTGAACACGGTTACCAAAAAAGATATGCGGAAATTTTTAGCCACCAATAAAACTATAGCCACAGTTCACTTTATCGTATGTGTTAAGCAAGGCATAAACAAGTGATGGGTATGGGAAAAGAGGTGTATAAAAAAACATTTTACGGCACGACACTGAAATTTGACGATTATAAACGTTATTTTCTGAGCAGTTAAACCATTCGCCATTTGTATTCGCCACTTAGTGTAGTAAAATTGCTGCTGTTATTTATCGCATTTTGCGAAGGTGGCGAACGCCAGCGGTAGCCCTGGGAACAATAATTGTTGTAGATGCACCTGAGATGTGTGCAGCTTTGTTGCCGTCCTCTTATTGAAGGACAGCACGCAAATGTTGTTGTCTAGGTGGTAATTTGTAAGACTTGGTCTTTCACACCCCTGTTCGGGGCTTCCCTGTAATTCGTTTCGGTAGTAGTATCTGTAAGGAGTTTGCTGGTGAATAGGGCTGTTGGATTTGAGAGGCAAGTGCTTGTGTATAGCTGAAAAGCTTTACGTGACTGTATGCACGTTCAAGCTGTACTCATGAACAAAACATGCATGTGTGATTAGGAAAGCCAATTGATATTTGAAAGGGTAACTTTAATTTAGAATATGCTAGTATATTATGATGATCACTGCATAATTTATATACGCCTACATATTTCTCTCGTCTCACATTCACTTTTAGTATTGGAATGAATTGATCACTGATACTTTGAAATCACGTGCTCAGCTATCTCAATGTGTTAAATGTGCTGCCCCAAGTGGAATTGCACAAAGCAAGTCTTTAGCCTCAAAGTCAAACAAATAACTGGCAGAATTTCTCATTTAAATGTGAGAAAGAGTGAAATATGCTTTACTGCTAGTTTCTGTTAAATTATGCACTGTTTTACTAAAAGTTTTTTTAATAATAAATTTGTAATAGAGGGGGGAATATAATTTTACTTTTGTTATATCCATGTCATGTTCATAATATTGCTTAGTGCAGCTTGGAGGCAGTATATTTAGTGGCAGAGGCAGCGCTGTTTTCATCGAGAGTTGTGCAAGCATAATTTGTTTAAAGTTTATTATACTAGTTTATAATATCTATCTATCTATCTTTATATATATATATATATATATATAGCATAATTTAAACTTGGTCTAAATAAAAATAGCTATTGAACCTAAATTCCCTTTCCATCGAGTTTCCCTTTCCGTAAACTATTTGCAAGAACTAACCTTAAATAATAGTACTAAGAATAAATAACTGGTAAAATAGAATATATAATTTAAGTAATGATAACGTACTATATGCAATTATAGTTTGTTATAATTACTACTCTTCTTAATAATAAATTGCTTTCTTCACAAAACTGTATTCCACGGAATCATTGAGTATAACCAAGTGTTGAAAAGTTTGCCATGAGTAAAAAGTTCAATGCGTGTTCAAATTTCTTTTGGTAAAAACACGTTACACGATCTCAGATTCCAAGGAGCATGAAGTTTAAGCCAGAAAAAAGATATATGGAGCATATGGCTCTTAGTTAGGTGCAGTTTTGGCAAAGTAGTTAGTGAGTTTATTCTGTAGTAACAATAAAATGCTGATACCAATAGAGCTACATGTGTGTTGACTTCAGGGCAATTGGTTAGTTGTCTTTCTAACACTCGTTAGATGCTTTTACCTTAACCATTATGTTTAATTACATAATTGCCACCCTCCATGAGGCTGCATTGATGTTTGATTTGCACATGATCGTGAATAGACGTCATAGGAGTTCACATAGGAAAGACTGTTACTGTTAGGTGACACCTGATCTCTCGTGAAATGCACGCAGTTTACTTCAAATTTGGAATGCTTCCTTTGTCTTATTTTGCTGAAGTGAGTGTTGTGTGCGAATAAACTCTTACTATTATCCGTATTCCACAGGCCAGCCGAGCAGCCGTTTGTCCCCGCATTGGTTCTCTGACAGGGGCTCAGCAGTGATTCTCTTGCACCTTGATGCTCTGGTTATTCGTAAAGCTGTCTACTCTACGGGTTCTCGAGGTCAGAGTTAGCTCACCTCTGGCGGGCGTGAGCAAGCGTCACGTAATGCCTGGGGCATGACACATGACAGAGTTGTTGTCACCACACAGTGGGCATAGTGTGACAGTTGGAAAGTCTCGTTCTTGCTATCTGTCTTTCCTTGTCTGTCCCTTTCTTTCTGTCCTTCTGTTTGCCCCTCTCTTTCATTTTCTTCCCTTCTCTGTTTGCCCCTCTCTGTCGCTTTCTGTCCTTCTCTGTTTGGCTGTCTGTTTCTGTCTTCCCGTAGTGCGTCTCTCGTGTGTGTGTGTGTGTGTGTGTGCGTGTGTGCGTGCGTGCGTGCGCATGCGTGTCTCTGTCTGTCTGTTTGTCTGTACATCTGTCTGTCTGTCTGTCCGTCCATCCGTTCATCTGTTTCGACTGTCGATGTGTCTTTCTCTCTTCCCCTGTGTGTGTATGTGTGCGTGCAGGCGCGCGTGCATCTGTCTAGCTGTCTGTCTGTGCATTCGTTTGTCTGTTTCGACTGTCAATGTGTCTTTCTCTCTTCTCCGTGTGTATGTTTGTTTGTGTGTGTGCGCGCGCGTGCGTGCGTGTGCGTGCGTGCGTGCGTGTCTCTCTCTGTGTGCGTGCGTGCGTGCGTGCGTGTGTGTGTGTGTGTCTGTCTCGATCTGCCGTGCTCTCTCACTCGCACGTACAGAGGAACGCACGTTCAAACATACTGCATCGACGCACTGAGTGCACTTGAATACGTGTACACTATTCATCTACACGTAGGTATGCACGCATACATGTGCAAACTCACACGTATCAGACCTTCACACCTCTGTCTGCTGCCGGTTATCAGACTGTACTCTGTGTGGATTCTATACGACAGGTAGCAAGCAGTATGAGAGTGTTTTACGTGCGCGGGGACATATATTGGAGAGTGCGCTTGCCTCCCCTTGTCATTTTAACTGCACCCGTTGCCATCTTGTTCGTCATCTTTGTGTGTGTGTGTGTGTGTGTGTGTGTGTGTGTGTGTGTGTGTGGGTGGGTTTTCACAGCGTTACAGCGTCTGTGGACGTTTCACAGCGTCTACGCGCATACCAGATAGGGCCTACTGTATGCTGCGCAAGACCATACTCCTATCATTTTTATGTGGGTAGCTACTCGATGCGTTCTGGCTCTCTTGCCGAAGCTGCTATTCATAAGCGGATACTGTGGCAGTTCCTCCATATTAAAAGGCAAGAAGCTTCTAGTCGGGTAAATATCTGCGATGTGCCGCGACCTCATTTGCCAATCAATAGCAGAACCTGTCCCAGGCAACGGGATGCAACATGGCGGCCGTCGAGTCGCTGATGAACGAGCGACTTGGTACAGCCAACTCGCAAGCCCAGCTGTGGTCCACACGCTCACAAAGCCTGCCCCACTACTACTGGTTTGCTCAGCGTAGCCGGCAGCCGTGGTTGGTTGGTGGGTGGGTGATCTGTTCGCTGACACACTCGTAAGTAGCGTGCGTGTGTGTGTGTGCTATACAGGTCAGTACTTAAATAAAGCTAGCCTGCTGCCCCCTCAGCACTCACTCATAGTCATACATTGTGGTTGTGTCGGGTGAGAAGGATCGCCGATGCTACCTAAACCCAAAGAAATGTCTCCGCCCAGCTATGTGACTGTACTTTTTTGTACGCTCGCTGTGCCGTACCATGAGTCGGCATGTAGAGCATTTCAACCTTATTAGAGTAAATAAATACTCGGTGTACGATGCCATATACATACATGTACAGTTGTATTCCTATCGAAGTATGCAACACACCTCGTGTGGTTAACACGATTTCATAGGGGTTGCCCTGGGATCTACGGCGTTTGGTGTGTTAGTATGTTGGTGTGCGTGCATATTCGCGCGCGCGTGCGTGCGTGCGTGCGTGCGTGCGTGCGTGCGTGCATTTATGGGTGCCTCCGTAGTGCGGTGATGTGCAGACGCGTGTTTCAAAGCAAGTGTCGTTAACCTTGAAATGTTACAGCTATCTGCGCTGCCTGTACTAGTAGGGCTGAAAGGGTCGTTGTCGTACCAGGTACTACATATATATGTACCCGAGGTACGTATATGTATACCAGACCTGTATCTTCTCAGCATATGTACTCTGTGATTAGGGTTAGTGTTAGGGTTAGGGTACACTTGTGTAGTACAAGTCTGGTACACTTTGTGTATACATATATGTACCTCGGGGTACATATATGTAGTACCTGATACGACAACGACCCCTTCAGCACTAGTAAGCAGCGCTACTCCTGTCTGTGTGTGATGCACATGTGTATGCACATATGCATACACTCGTGTTTTTATTCGAATTTGTTTATATATATATGTTTATTTTCATTTTGCAAGCGCAAGAATACGCAGTGGTGTTGGGATTGGCCGCAACAGTGGCATGTATTGACAAATCTCAGAGAGGAATGGACTTCGAGTTTTCACATTTGGCGTCTTGTGTCGTAGTGAAAACTACATCATACTACTTACATTTAAACTTACTTACATCAAACTACTTACATTTAAACAGCAGTACTTAGTCAAAAACTTCCAGCAGGTACTAGAGTAACGGTCAGGTTTTGCTTATTATTTATTAAACCATGCTCTGAGGCAAGTGAAACACTCCAGAGGTAGTGCCAGGTACATACTGGTGGATGCTGGTCAATTATAAGGTGGTTAAAAGTCAAATATCCACAATTCCCTGTATTTAAAGTATAACATGTATAAGTCCAGCATTGTGGCACAAAGCCAAGCGGCATTAGAAACATTTTTTATGAACAAAAATTAGAAACAGTTTGTTAAAGTGTCAACTAAACAATAATATGACATGACCATGGAACGTACGTATTTCTATTCATATGTTAATAGTCTCCCTCTGGTGACATATTAGCATTTGAAAGAAAGGGTTAAAATGTTTTGAGCCACCTTAAAAGTTAAACCAATGCAGCCTCTCGTAGTCACCAGAGACCACGGTAGTAACAGAAGGAATTGTGGTAGTAGCAGGGACAACAGCAACAGGAGTAGCTGCAACTACAATACGTACTAGTGGTAGCTACAGTAACGGGAGTAGCAGTGGCACTATTGGCAGCATATGTTGCTGCAGTAGCAACATTTGGACTTGTATAGTCAGTAGCAATAGAAGTAGAACTTTGTGGCAACAGCACTAACAGCACTAACAGCAGTAGCACCTGTGGCAGAAGTTGCAGCATATGCTGCTACTACTACTACTACAGCTACTGCATTATGCAGTAGCTGTAGTAGTAGTAGTAGTAGTAACACTAAGACTTGTAAAGGCAGTGCCTGTACCAATAGTAGTACTAGTAGTAGTAGTAGTAGTGGCGGTTACGATGGTGGTGGTGGTGGCGGCGGCGGCGGCGACACCGGCTGTGGCAGTGGCGGCAGCAGCAGCAGTAGCAGGAGCAGCAGCAGTACTAGCAATAGCAGCATTAGCAGGGCTGTCACTCTGCAACACTTGTTAGGTTTTTATAGAACTGTACGTGAACTAGCAAAGCTTTAAAGCATGAGTATATTTATTTATAGGGTTCAATCTGACGTTGTGAGCTTGTAGTGTGTTTCTCATGCATATTGCGAGTGATTGGTATTTTTCTGCGCTGATGCTATTGTAGGGCATCGGGAAATAAGAAACGACGCTACTTTATTTCCCCCCGGTTAAACCTCCAACTAACTCTCTAAGGGCAAGAAGGTGTAATTCACACAGACGTTCTTAAACTGGTAGCAAACCTTGGCCGAGTAAACTAGTATCAAGTGAAGTGTGATAGATGTGCGGCTGTGCTCCATCCGTGTATCTTTACTACGTGGCTTTATCATCAACCCTGGTGTCACGTTTTAGGATGGTGTACGCATAGCCTGTGCGGGTGGGTCAGATGCTGGGTGTGGGTGTGGGTGCGTGTGCGTGCGTGCGTGCGTGCGTGCGTGCGTGCGTGTGTCCACGCCCATGTTTAGGCAGGCTCTGTTTACGCCCCTGTGGAATCAGTGAGTGCATTATTGATTTTGCTGCGTGAGGTCTAGAGCAATGGCTGATTGCGAGACCGGGTTAGTTCTCCTGCACGCAGATGGACACGTCCCCGTAAATGCACAGAGAGAAAAATAAACGTGCAGTCTGCTACAGTCTCGTTGTGACAAAATAGAAATGGAATAAAGACTAGTAATAAAGACACCAGTAAGGGGAGGTTATATCATACTTAGAATGGGCACAGTGAGACATGTATTTGGCAAGTTAATGTGATGATGACAATGACACTGTGAGTACAGTAAATCAAACGGACACATATTGATGTGCATCGTGACTAATGGGTCAATAACGCCTATTCCCATTTTGACAAAGCTGTTATTTTGAATATCAGACAGTGTATACATTTCATGCGCACACTTGCATTTAAACATATATATAATGGCTTTAGAATATTATCATGATGATTCGCATGTGCTCTTTGTTGGCACTATACTCTCTGTTAACTAATTTTCTCTCTGTTTTAAGCTCTTAAAACAGTTACGTCTGTGTCGGACCCTCTTCAGTTCTCATCACAGTTTTCTACTCTGGGTACCTGTCGGTGAGCAATGCAAAGACCCTCTAGGTATAAAATGTGTAGCATTGTGCTGTTTATGTTGCAGGGATGGGGACAGCAATGATAGCACTAACACGCTGACACCCACCTCAGAGCTATCTGCAGAGCAGCTGCCAGAGTCGACCATCGCACCACGTACAGGTGGAGCGTTGTCTGCAATTGGTAAAGATTTAAAGTCCCTGATCGCGAGCGGCTCACCGTATTCATCGTCCGAATCGAACGATGACGAGGGAGAGAGAGACCAGGAACGTTGCAGCCCAGCCTCTTTCTTACCAGACAGAAAAACAGACGACGATAGTTTGCCAAGCATGACCAATAATTCGCAGCTGTCGTCGAGTGAATCTGAGCCTGCAGAAGGCAGTGCCAAGGATGCTGAAGAAGATAGTGTTAAAGATGCCGAGGAATACAGTCTGAAAGAGGGTAGTTTCAAAGGTGGCAAAGAGGGAATTTCAAAAAAGTTCGAGGAAATTTCTGTAGAGGCAGGTACACAGAACGCCAGTCACACAAAGCCACTTGCCACAGCTAAGACGTGGAGTTTGTGGGATATGGACGTTGATGCAGATGCGGCACCCGAACACTCTCGTGAAAACGACGTTTCCCCCTGCCATGACTTGCCGTCAACGAAACGAGTTGTGGCTGCCGGTTATGGAAACACGAAAACAGTTTGCGAACGGGAAACAATTTCGAATGGGAGCAGCACTTTGGACCTCTCCGATCTCACTCACAAAGATGTCGAAGGTGATGGTGTAAAGCCAGAGGTTTCAACAAGTGAAGTGACAACAACGTGTTATAGGTCTGTGTGCCAGCAGTCGACTGTAAGACGGAGTCAAAAAGAAGCAAAGTCGCGACTAGAGATATATGATTATGACAGCAGTGATAGTAGAGAGCAGGATTGGGGCAGTGCGGACTCTGACCCTGACGTTGACCCCGCACCTGCTTCTCACGGGGAGAGAAATTCATTACCAGGTGTGACGCGTAAGGTGTATGGAAAACCCTTGGAGGAACAACATGTGTATGGCAAGCCTTCACATGAGGGTACGGTGCATGAAAAACCTTCAGAGAAATGCAAGGTGATTGGAAAACCATCAGAGAAACACAACATATATGAAAAAGCGTTAGAGCAATCAACAGTGTATGGAAAGCTTTCAAAGAATATAAAGGTGTATGGCAAGCCTTTAATAGAAAGCAGTGTGTATGAAAAATCTTCAGTAGAAGACAAGGAATATGCCAAGTCCTTAACAGAAGGCAGTGTGCGTGGAAAGCCTTCTGTTGAAGACATGGTGTTTGAAAACAGTGTATCTAACAAGGATGATGTGTATAGCAAATCAGAAGAGGGTGCTAAGGTGTATGAAAAGGCTACAAAGCAACACAAGGTGTACGGGAAGCCTTCACATCAACACAAGGTACATGAAAAATCTTTAGAAGAAAATCAACTGCATAGCAAACTTTCAGAGAAAGATGAGATGTTCGATGAGCCTTCAGTGGACGGCAGGCTCTGTAACAGCGAGTTAGAGGAAGATCGTGTGAACGGGAAGGAGTCGGCGGAAAGCCGATTGCACGACAAGCACTTGGAATCGAGCGTGACGACTACTGAGCTTGCGCGACCCGACTGGGATGGTACAGATGCTGCGCGGGGCGCCGCGGAGAGAGGAGGAGGCGATCCGGAGAGGAAGTCCGACTCGGAGGAGAGCAGTCACAACGACTCGTCGTCCAGCAGCGTGAGCTTCAAGAAGCGATTCGGAAAGTTCAAGTACCTTCACGAGGACCGCGAGTCCGGCTCTGGCTCCGAAGCGGAGGAATACCTTCGTCGGGGCGGCGGCAGTGGCGACGGCAAGGAGGAGAGGTCAGAGGTCGACTTTGGCGAGAACTCGACGAACAGCCCCTCGTCGACGGAGGGAGACGCGGAGAAACACGGCGGCGAGATGGGCGCCGGCGGCGATACGCATGGCGAGAGCGCGTCCTCCCCGCGGCCTTTCAACAGGAAGATGAAAGAGGCGCGGCAGCTGTCTGCGGGCGATGGGGACACGTCGACGTCGCGCAGACGCAGCAGCCGGATTGTGAAGCTGGAGGAGAGGAAGGAGCAGGAGAAGAAAGAATTGGAGGAGAAACTAGAGATGGAGCGGAAGGAGAAAGAAGAACGAGAGAGGCGGGAAAAGGAAGATAGGCAACGCATAAAGGACGAGCGAGAGCAGAAGAGGTTGGAAGCGGCTGCCAAGCGAATACTAGAAGAGCAAGAGGAACTGGAGCGAAAGACCAAGGAGAAGCCCGAAGAGAAAGTTGCGAAAGATCCTAGAAAGAAGGAAGTCAAAAAGAAAGAAAAAGAGGTGCCGAAAAGTTCTCCGAAAACTCCGAAAATATCGAAATCTGAGAGAGTTGACAAGTCCCCAGAGATGCCACCACCCACACTACTCATTGGCACCGCCTCTCCTCCTTTGCGGCCTCTGAAACAAGAGGCAAGCTCTATATCTACGCCTGGCGAATCGCACGTACCAAACCCTCCTATAAAAGTAAAAGATCGGTGGCGCCGTTGCAGTGAACTCGACTTTGGCGACGAGAGTGGCGACATAAAACCCAACATTGTGACGTCGCCGGGACAAGTGGCGCCACCGCTGCCAGACGAGCAGTCTTCGCACGACGAGCAGATGGTGGTGCAAGATTTGACGACGATGTCTCAGCCGGAGGAGACTTCTGAAATCAAAGTAGCGTCGGCGATGCATGTGTTAGAGCCCTTACCCAGCACGCCCAAGTTTGAACCGAGGCAGGTCGGCCTGAAGGTCATCATGGATGTCAAGGCAAAGGAGCAGGAAGAGAATATGCCAACGTTTGAGTTGCTCACCGAAAATGTGTACTTGACTGAGAGGTATGAAATTTTTCATACATAATGCTGAACGTTTGAGTGGTAACTGAATCCATGCTTTGCTATTTTGACTGGGAATATCATTAAAACTTATTTTATGTTTTTGTTGTGACTGTGGCTGTATTTTTCTTATATGTACACGATTACAGGTTAGTCTGTGCATGTGACCGAATTCGATTTACCACGGTTGTTCGCTGTTACAGGAAAAGTCATTCGAAAGCAAGGAAGGAAGTGAGGCGAATGGTGTGCGACTGTACGACAAGCAAGGAGGACCGTAAGGCTGAAATTGCGGCTTGTGGCGAGAACTGCCTCAACAGGCTCTTGATGATTGAGTGCTCGTCTCGCTGCCCGTGTAGCTACCACTGCACTAACAGGCGATTCCAGAGGGTATGTACCACAGGCATGAACAGCATTGAGATATTGCCTTGCATGCCATCTGCGAAGTAAAGTGCCTACATGGTGTCATTTACTCTGTAGCTGTGAGGTAGAGCTTGATGTTGAAGTACCGGGTTCAACTTTGCATAAGTTCCAATTAGAATGTTGGCATGACAATAGCTTTGTTGAGCTGTTGAGCTCATGTACAGGAGGTGAATATGACCGTGTTTAGTGGAATAACATAAAGATAGTTATTTGCAAGTGACGCACACATGATTTTTAATTAAAAAAAAAAAAATGCGTGTAGGGTTGTTATCTGAATTTTATGAGTTGATAATGTGAGAAGTTTGTGTAAGAGCAACAAATGAAACATTCTGCATTGCAATGAATGATGAATATTTATAGTTGGGATCAGATCTTGCCCCCTGCATGCAAGAATTGGCTTGTTTAGGGGAAATTAATTTTACTTTACCAAACTTTTAGAAATCCATTTCAAATGATGCTATTTGCAGAAATAAATAATAATAATTTGCTCATTGATTCTTGTCAAATCATCTGTTTTTGCTCTGTTGAACACCTTATCAAGAGTGCAAAGGAATGTAATTGCATCTTCTCAATTGGTCGTTTGAATATGTTTGTGAGATTTGTAAACCTGAGAGACTGCACAAGTTGAAATTATGATTTCTTTTCAGCGTGAGAATTCCAAGGTGGAGCCATTCAAGACGGAGAAGAAAGGCTGGGGTTTGAAAGCGTTGGAGGATCTTGCACAGTAAGCTACCAATGCTATGCACAATATTGTTATACATATAGCATGTATAGCATGATACTGTTTTTCTATCCATTACCCAAAAAAATCTCAATTTTGTCTTGTACTTTGAATGTTGCTTATAGAAATATGTCATTTGAAGTTGTTGCATAGGCTCTCAGTTATTAGGTATGGGTTTTAATAATGACACAACTTCATAACAACTTTTAGATAAAGACACAGAATAATGGTTTGTAATAAGGTTCTTTTAGACTTCATTTTCTCAAGTATAGTCAGTCACCTATGTCATTATTCAGATGTTGTTATTCTAATACTGCTAACAGAGCTTTAGGTAATCTTTATAGCAGATGCCACTTTCATCACCACTAACAGCTTGAAATGATGTTATAACCTTCTTCGCAGAACTCGTGCATTGTGAAGGTCACACGTGCTATTATCACGAGTTATGAAGGTTACAAATGCTGTTGGCCAACATAATATATGAGCTCTGTCATACATTACGATTCATATAGATTTATAAACGAGATTTATACTCAAAAGTTCAAATGAAGAAATTATTCTACAAGTTTCTCTCCTTATCTCTCTCTCGCGCTCCCTCTCTCTCACATCTGTTTCACGTGCTCACACAACCTCTCTCCTACTTCACTATGTACGATTCTGCTGATGCGCGGCCGCCCAGGCCAGCTCCATGCTGACTGCAACGTGTGTGTGTTTCTGCAGGGGTGCGTTCGTCATGGAGTACGTCGGGGAGGTGCTGAATCACAGGGAGTTTAAGAGAGGGTGAAGCTCTCTCTCTCTCTCTCTCTCTCATCCTCTCTCTCTCTCTCTCTCTCTCTCTCTCTCTCTCTCTCTCTCTCTCTCTCTCTCTCTCTCTCTCTCTCTCTCTCTCTCTCCTCTCTCTCTCTCTCTCTCTCTCTCCTCTCTCTTCTCTCTCTCTCTCTCTCTCTCTCTCTCTCTCACGCTCTCTCTCGTGTGTGTGTTTCTGCAGGGGCGCGTTCGTCATGGAGTACATTGGGGAGGTGCTGAATCACAGGGAGTTCAAGGAGCGGGTGAAGCGCTACATGAAGGAGGACGCGAAGCACTTCTACTTCATGGCGCTGCGCGGCGATGAGATCATCGACGCGACGCACCGCGGACAGCACTCGCGCTTCATCAACCACAGCTGCGATCCAAACTGCGAAACGCAAAAGGTGAGGTGCGGTGTCGGCGTAGCGTGTTCTAGCGGTGTGTTGGCGTAGCGTATTCTAGCGGTGTGTCGGCGTAGCGTATTCTAGCGGTGTGTCGGCTTAGCGGGTTCTAGCGGTGTGTCGGCGTAGCGTGTTCTAGCGGTGTGTCGGCGTAGCCTATTCTAGCGGTGTGTCGGCTTAGCGGGTTCTAGCGGTGTGTCGGCGTAGCGTGTTCTAGCGGTGTGTCGGCGTAGCGTGTTCTAGCGGTGTGTCGGCGTAGCGTGTTCTAGCGGTGTGTCGGCGTAGCGTGTTCTAGCGGTGTGTCGGCGTAGCGTGTTCTAGCGGTGTGTCGGAGTAGCGTGTTTTAGCGGTGTGTCGGCGTAGCGTGTTCTAGCGGTGTGTCGGCGTAGCGTGTTCTAGCGGTGTAGGAGGCGCGGAATAGGCCGCGCGTAGGAGTACGGTAGCGTAGTGGTAGCGGCACAGGATGCGCGTAGTGGTAGCGGCACAGGATGCGCGTAGTGGTAGCGGCGTGTAGTGGTAGTGGATTAGGAGGCGCGTAGTGGTGGCGGTGTAGGAGGCGCGTAGTGATAGCGGCGCGTAGTGGTAGCGGCATAGGAGTACGGTAGCGTAGTGGTAGCGGTGCGTAGTGGTAGCGGCATAGGGGGCGCATAGGAGTACGGTAGCGTAGTGGTAGCGGCGCGTAGTGGTAGCGGCATAGGAGGCGCATAGGAGTACGGTAGCGTAGTGGTAGCAGCGTGTAGTGGTCGCGGCGTAGCGTATACGTGACGAGATCATTAACGCGACGCACCGCGGACAGCACTCGCACTTCATCAACCACAGCTGTGATCCAAACTGCGAAACGCAAAAGGTGAGGTGCGGTGTTGGCGGCAGTTGTCGAGTCTTCGACCCGACCTCGCGCGGCGATGGCACGCACGTCGTTTCCGGGCATCTAGATGTGTAGTCCTGAGGTGTGGGTTGGTTGCTTTTGTTCAGGTGCTTTTGAGATGGTGTCTAAAGTCATGTAAAATATGAGTGGGTTTTGCCAAATTAATTTATATCAATTGCATTGCTGTGGCATTTGGTTGGAGAAAGTTTATATGGATGTGGTTATTACATTTCTTATGGCATTTTCCTTTCCAGTGGACTGTAAATGGACAGTTAAGGGTTGGTTTCTTCACTACCAAACCGGTTCCAAGTGGCCAAGAGCTTACATTCGACTACCAGTTCCAGAGATACGGGTGGGTTGTGCAGCATATAACATGAATGCCCAATAGAAGTCCAAAAGTCCATTCCATCAGTCCCAAAGTTATTTCCCTGACGTCTATCTCTCACAACCTCCTGACTTTTCATCCATGACATGGTTCTTTTTAAATCCATCTAGTGTGGCTACCTATTAACATCTGCAGAGTGCCATGAGTAATTAGGTGTTCGATAAACGATTAACCGCGTGACGCAGATAGCTGTGTTTTTAATCCATCTCGACTAGTGTGGCTACCTCTATAATACTAACAGCTGCAGACAGTCATGAGAAAATAAGGTGATTGATAATGGTTTTATTTAATCCATCTAGTGTGGCCACCTCTATAGTATTAATACATGCAGACAGTCGTGAGTAATTAAGCGATTCGATAAATGAATAAGCGATCTGTGTGGCGCCGAGAGCTGAGTATAACCGTAGCTGATCTTCGTCGTCCACAGGAAAGAGGCGCAGCCGTGCTACTGCGGGTCTGACAACTGCCGCGGATACATCGGCGGCGAGAAGACGGAGCCGAACCTGCTCAACAAGACTCCGGGCAAGAACGACAGGATCCTGACTCCCAAGCGCAGGCTGAAACGACGAGACTCCTTCGAAGACAGTTCGGTGAGCATCGTGAAATTGCCGGGGGGGGGGGAGCACGCCCGGAGAGGGTGCTGAGAGCGTGCACTTGTGTGGGACACACTGCGAGCGTGCATGTTGTGTGTAACGCACTGTGAGCGCGTATGTTGTTAGTATATTATAGCACTTAAAAGCATACTCAGTACCTGTTTTTACGTATGTTAGATATTGTGAGTACGTGTTTTTAGACGGCACTGTTTTTTCTGATGCTGTGGTTATGTATTTGTGGGTAACATTCTGTGAGCTCATATATCATGGGGAACATACCATAAGTTTATGTTTGTAGATGGCTTACTGCATACGTGTTTTTATATGGGATATTTGATATCATGGGTGTTTTTTGGCAACACTGTTTTTTGGCATTTTGTGACTACGTATTTGTGGTGAACTTACTGTAAGTAATTTGCTGTTGAGTTCTAATGAGTTACTGAATTTACCGTGGAATCTTAAATTAATTCAGTTGGAACAAGAAATAGAGAAGCTGATTGAGACTGGGCTGAAGAATAGGAATCATGTTCTCAACCTGTCCCGGCTGATGGTGAGAGCTGAGTCAACCCCAGACAGACTGGCTCTACTCAAACTCCTACAGGTGACAGAAACTCGACATAATGTTCGCATGAAGCTTATGTAGAACGAGTGGAAATTCTCCCACTTGATATTTTCTCCTGCTCTTTGACTCTATCTCCTTCCGTTTTCCCCCTTTCTCTCATTTTCTCTCACTTTTACTCTTTTCCTCTCTCTGAGATTTGGCTTCCTCTTCTTCTCCCTCTTCCCTGCCTCTTATGCTCCTTCCCTCCCTCCCTTTTTCAATCCCTTTCTCTCTCACCCTTTTCTCCCTCCCTCTCTTCTTCCCTCCCTCCCTTCCCCCTTGGTTTCCATCATTCTTTTACTGTCTTGTTTGAGTGTGAAGCACAACTGTAATTACTGCATCGAAGTGAAATGCATATTATAAAGAAAGGTGACTGATAACATTCATTGTGTATTTAAGACGACGCCAGAAACCGCTTGCCAGCGTTCATTCCTAGACTACCATGGGCTTACTTTGCTCTGGAGCCTCATGGTTGACATTCCCGAGAATGGTTTGGAGCTCAAGGAACAGGTTAGTCAATGTTGCTTGAATTAAGAGCCCAGCAATGCATTTGTGACATAACTGCACCCTTCTATACTTCCGACGACGCAGGGCCGTGTGAACGCGGCGATCAAAATCAACTAGAGGATAAATATTGATGAATAACATTGCAAAAACCAGTTTGCTATTATGAAAAACGAGCGTTTAGTAGCAACACTTTTCATGTATGAAGATGCTATTATGAATTCGACTACGTGTGTGTATGTGCACGTCCTCGATTGGCCATAAGTACACAGAATAGTAATTTGTGCAATCTTTAGCGCAACTCTTGCTATGTTGAGATGCGTGTGACTGTCTCTCTGCTGCGTCTGTCTTGTCCCATGTTGTATGTTCTATGTATATATATGTTATATGTTCGCTTCTATGTTGGGACGTGTGTCTCTGTGCTGTGCCCTCCTGTCTTGTCCCATGTTTATATGTTCTATGTGTATATATATGTTATATATATGTTATATGTGCGTTTCTATTATGCGGACACGTCGGTGTCTTATATCTGTGCCTGTCTTGTCCGCATTTGTATGTTCTATGTATATATATATATGTTAAATGTTCGCTTCTATTATGGGACGCGTGTGTTTGTGCTGTGTCTGCCTTGTCCCATGTTGTATGTTCTATGTATATATATGTTAAATGTTTGCTTCTATTATGGGGCGCGTGTCTTGTCCCATGTTGTATGTTCTATGTATATATATGTTATATATATGTTATATGTTCGCTTCTATGTTGGGACGTGTGTCTCTGTGCTGTGCCTGTCTTGTCCTATATTGTATGTTCTATGTGTATATATGTGTATATAGTGATGTTAGTATTGTAGCACTATTCCTATTATGGCGCACCGTTCCTTTCTGCACGGCGCTCTGGTCTTGTCCCATGTTGTAGTCTCTATGTATACTATATGTTAGTATGTTTCTCTAGTTTGGACGCGTGTTTTTGTGCTGTGTCTGTCTTGTCCTATATTGTATGTTCTATGTGTATATATGTATATATATGTTATATGTTCGCTTCTATGTTGGGACGCGTGTCTTTATGCTGCGTCTGCCTTGTCCCATGTTGTATGTTCTATGTATATATATATATATATATTATATGTTTTGCTGCATCTGTCTTTGTACACAGATTCTCGCCACGCTGGCCGTGCTGCCGATCCCGCACAGGAACATGTTGGACGACAGCAAGGTCACGCAGGTCATCAAGCGCTGGCTGCAGGAGAGAACCTCCGCCACCGCCGCCGCCAAGCCCAAGTCCTCCTCCCGCGACGACGCTGCCTCGAACACGGACTCGTCGCTCGCCGCCGACGCGCCGTCCTCCGACGCCGCTCCGGCCAATCGCCTCGCAGCGACGCCGGGTTCGTCTGCCGCCTCGAAACAAGCGGACAGCGGTAAGCGGGAGACCGACGACGATCGGTGGACGGCGTGTAAGAAGCAACGTCAGCAGGAGCCTGTCGGCGCGGTGGGCGGCGGCGTTCGTGATCTGCGCGATCCGAGTGTGTTTAACTCGTTGCTGCTCGAAGTGCAGTGTGCTGCCACCTTGCAGACTATTGTGCGCGTCGTGTGCGACGGTGCTGCCGGCGACAGCAGTAGCGAAACGGCTGCGGAAAGCGACCCGTTGATCCAGTTATACAAACAATATAGCTCAACCGCAGGAGAGTGTCCCAGCAAACCCATTTCCAATGCTAGTCAAGGCCCATGCAAACGCGCCGCAGTTACGCCGTCGCTCGGGGAAGTTACGGAAAGCTCCGACACGGATGTTAATCGCACGGACGATGAATCTAGTCAGTTGGCGGAAGAAGCAGAAGTGTGTGAAGGGAAGCAGGCGGCGAGTAAAAAGATTGTGGACATGGCTTCTTCTCTTCTGGAGAGCTGGAGCAACTTGAAGGTAAGCAGCTGCATGTGGCATTAACTAGCATCAAGAATCCAGTGGAAATTGGTAGTAATCTCCCAAAGCACTAATATAATTTGTTTCGCTAATTTTGCTCCTTTGTTAACCAACTAGTCTGTTCAAAATCTAATGGAATCCTCGTAGATTGAACTTATCTGGTTGCTAGGGTAGGATGTTTATTTTGTAAATATGTTCTTCTTCGTGGCATCACTAATATACCCTTGATTTCCACCTTTACAGGAGATCTTCAAGATACCCCGCAAGGAGACAAAGTCGGTTGCGGTGCCGGAGAAGGACAGAGACAGGAGGCGTTCCAGGGATAGGGACCGTGACTCGGACCGCTCGCGCGATAGGGACCGGGAGCGGGAGAGGGAGAGAGAGCGGGAGCGTGATAGGGAGCGAGAACGCAGGGACAGAGATAGAGACAGATATGACAGAAGAGGTGCGTACCAAAGTTGGTTTGCGTGTATGCGCATGGTATGTGTTGCGTAACATTTCATTCACAGATCGACAGAAGATCAGCCACGCGATCAAAATTGTTGTAGCATCTAATAAGTTATTTACTAAGTACTACTTGGAGTGTAACAGATTTCCAGTTACTAGAGTCCCATCACAGTGCGTGTGTGCGTACGTGCATGCGTGTGTGCATGTTTGCTCTTTCTGTATAAAGCTGTATTAAAACGAAAATGATGATTAGCTGCTAAAAATACAACATTCATTTTTTTTTTTAATTAAAAATAGGTACATTTATCATTATTGAATGTGAAAATTCAAATTTGGTTGTCAATGCCTTTTGCACCGATGCGATTTCAGATCGCGATCGAGACAGAGACAGGGATCGAGATCGAGACAGGGATCGAGATAGGGAGCGAGACAGGGACAGAGACCACGATCGTTACGATTGCGACAAGTACGAGCGTGACAGACGACGCAGCAGCAGGGCTTCTCCCGACAGGAGCAGAGACAGCAAAGATAGGAAGAAGGATGACAAGAAGGGGAAATCAGACTCACAACGTTCCACCACGCCTAAATCTGATTCCAAAGGGCAGCAGAAGAAGTAGGTTCTAGCGATCAAACAGCACCCTTCCGGTAGCACATTACGCCTATTAGCAGGGTTCGATATATATAACTAGAGTATTCACTCAGTAATTCAAAAAGTTATAGGTACAATGTACTAGTACTGTCAAACCAGTGTTACTGGACACTTCTATAGAGCAGAGTCCTGTTGATAATGGCCACTTGGCATTCCCCTTGAGTAACAGTTATACAGTGAAGCACCTCAACTGAACAGGCCCCTGTATAACGGACACCATTGGGAGTCTCACTTGTGTGAGCTTTATGTACAGGTTTTACTATACTGTAGAACATGTAAATCTATCTGTATTTGCTTTCTTTGCTGCACTGCATACTCGTTTTGATCTACAAGTTTGTTCCACTCTTTGAACATTTTGCAGAAAGGTGCTCCTCGAAACACCCAAGATGACCAAGGAGCAGCGGAGGCAATGGTTTGAGATGGAGGTGGCACAGGAGGATGCCCGGAAACAGGAGGTTCGTATTAGCGTATACTGCGGGAGAGATTACGGGATACCGATGCGGTGAACGCACGTTGGAACGATAACACGCTACGCCTACATCAACCTCGACATTACCTGCATCTACCTACATCTATTTATTCTATCTATCTATCTATCTGTCTGTCTGTCTGTCTGTCTGTCTGTCCGTCCGTCCGTCCGTCCGTCCATCCATCCATCTATTTATGTATGTAACTATCTACATCTACCCGCAGGCGATTCTCAAGCAGCAGGGACTTGCGACGGAGACGCCGGTGGCAGGCTATTACCAGGGAGGCTTTCCCATCGGACCGGACGGCGAACCTCTACACCAGCCGGGCTCCATCCAGCAGTGGGTGACCGCGGAGGGCCAGGCCATCCAGCAGTGGGTCACGCCCGAGGGCCTGACCATACAGCAGTGGGTGACTGCGGACGGCCAGCAGGTGCAGCAGTGGGGCACGCCAGACGGCAACACAGTGCGGCAGTGGACGGCGCCCGACTCGATCCCGCTGCAGCAGTACGTCGCCGCGGACGGTCAGCCGATCGGTCACCCGTTCCGGCAGTACGTCAGCGCCGACGGTCAGGTGACGCTGCAGTACATCGGGCCGGACGGTCAGCCGGTTGAGACTTACGTGGGGCCGGAGGGGCAGACGGTGCAGCAGGAGTTTCTGGGGCCGGACGGACAAGCTCTCCAGCAGTACGTGGGTCCAGACGGGCAGCCGATTCAGCATTACGTTGGACCAGACGGACAGGCATACATGCATGGTATGTAGCCGTACTTTAGTAGCATTAGCATTAGCAGTAGCAGCAACAGCACTAGCAACAGCACTAGCAGCAGCAGCAGCAGTAGCAGTAGTGATTGTGGCAGTGGTGGTCATCGGTATTGGTGCACTTGTGGCATTTTCCTTTGTGACACATGTACAATTTAAGTAAGATAAGTTTTAGCACACTATGGTGTTGGAGTTAATTAAATTTTAGTGTGTTCAGTGTTTCAGTGGTTATGTAGCATTTTCTCTATTCACCTTCACAGTTGATTTGCTTTCTAAAAATTCGTCACATTTCTAGTCTGTTGTTGCTGTTTAGCATCTGTATAGCAAAACGATGCTAAGTTAGTTTTCTTTCCTAGTTGACCCAACGACAGGTCTCCCAGTGAACGTTACAGCACAGCCAACAGTGCCTTCTACACCAGGAGCCGTCATCAACCAACCAGTCCCTATGCAAAACCCAGGTACATGCCTAAACAATACCACACCACTGTGTAGATAGTATAGTCGATCAGCCCGATTTCTGAACGATTCAACTTTGGTTTTATCTATGGCAGGTATCTCTGTATCTTGTCATATATTTTTGCAGAAAAAATGATGTGATACTATGTAGTGTGGATGAACATTATTGCAAACAGGCTGCCTTTGCTTATAGTTCTTGCAGAAGGAAGTACTGGCGCATCACTGGAGCTTCCAACTGCAGTTGCCATCGATCAGAGTGGCCATCCGGCACCAACGTCCGGTGGAAACGTTGTATATCAACAATCCCCTGCTGGCTACCAGGTACGTCCTACTCGCCAAGCATCAATAAACTTCATGCGGATAGCTTTAGAAACTGTTTTCGTCTTGGTTAGCAATATTACTGTTTATAATAATACTGGTAATATTAATAATATTGATTATAATAAATACTATTTCTAGGTTTTACATGGTCCAGCATGTTCACCTTCGTCATACCAATGTTTCCGTTACAGGTGCAGAGTGCTGTGCCCACCCAGGTCGCTGGCTACATAAACCAGCAGGGTCAGTTTGTGCAGGCAGTGCCAACGGCGTCCACCGTTGCCACCCCGACAGCTGCAGTAGCGACCGCAGGCAGTCAGCCCGTACAGCAAACGTTGTATTACACGACACCGCAGGGCCAAGTTGTTTCATTCCAGCAGCCTTCAACAGGCAGCAGTGTTAGTGCCGAACAACAACAGCTGTTGCAAATCTCACAGGTAGGATGATAGCTGTAAATAATACTTAAGTATCATACATAAAGATGTCTTCGCACACAGATTGATTAAAGTCATGAGTAAAATCATACATTTAGAACAGCTACAGGGTTGTAGCATATGTTTTACAGATGTAGTTTTTGGGAGGTATGTTACTATAGGAACTATGTGCTATAGTCCATAACACTATACAGATATATGGGTACAGGGTCGTTATGTAAGAAGTTTGAAGGCGTGTGTAATGCAGATGTCTGCATTGCACGCTTTTGCCCACACGCACGGTATACACTCACACAAACCTTTCACACCTTTATTGACCCTCGTGCAATTCACCATGTTTTAGATTCAGCAGGCACTACAAGTACAACAGACGCTTGCCACACTAACTGGACAACAGGTGACACTAAGATCATCAACTGCACCATCGGACAACGATATCGATCCTCCTCCACCATCTCCTCCTAAGCAGAAACAACCTCCTAAGTTACCGCCCAACTGGAGAACTGCTAAGGATGCAGATGGTCAAGTTTACTATTACCACACTGTCACTAGGTAAGTTCCCAATAATACTTCTCACACGTTATACAGCAATTACTTCTTTATTGGGACAGGTTGGGAATCATGAAAATATCCCGATTAAGTAGTGAATACATAGCAACGTGCATGAGGATTGTTTTTTAAAGACATGTTGTTAAAGCGATGCACCTGTTTATCCGAGGTCGGTAATTCGGGGACCACTGTAGTATCATTACATGCAATTGCTGGTTTGACGTTGTACAGAAATTGCCTTTATGTTAAGCTGCTACTTAGCTCAGTTCAACAAGAATTTAAACATTTGTGCTTTAGGCAAACGCAGTGGGACCCACCTACTTGGGAAGGATCAGAGGCGGATTCGGGCGATGATACACCCACCGTGGACGAGCAGCAGTCTGTGAAACAGAAGAAGCAGCAGCAACAGCAGCAACAACAACAGCAGCAGCAGCAACAGGGCAAGGCTGCAGAAGCGACGACTGCTGCTGCCGACACTTCCAGCGAAACAGCGCGCAGGATCAAGGAGCAGTTTAGAACCAAGGTGACGAAGACGTGGCGAATTGGTCACTTTGTAACTTTGTATTGGTGTACGTTATTATTAGTAATGGTCATCTTGTGATCATGTTTATAGCATTTCTATCGTATTTATCAGCTTTCTTCCTACCTTAATATCGATTTATTTGTGTTTTTCAATGCAGATGTCCAGCCACATTGTGGTGTGCCTGAATCCGTATAGAAAGCCAGATTGTAAGCTTGGCCGGATTACCAACACAGAGGACTTCAAGCATTTGGCAAGAAAGGTATGGGACTGCTAGTCTGCTGCTAGTTACCACATTGTTTTTTCTTTTTCCACACTGTGGAATTGGTTCATAATCTTGCGGTGAAATTCATCTTCTGTTAAAATGTGATTTTGTTTAGGTTATATGACACATCTGCAGCCTATGAAAGTCATTTCAGTAGCCTACATTATGAAAACCTGGGTCAGGGAAATTCGCACATACCGAATTAAAAATTATGACCACCTTACTCGTGATACGAAACAAAAATTCATTCTTCTAAAACAGAATAATAGAAGTAATTTTTAAAAGAAGTGTGGGGTTTCTTCTCAAAAAGTAGCATGCCAAAACTAAAATATGTAATGTATCCAATTATATCATGGAAGTTCATAAAATTTGCTTTGCATTGAAGAATTTTGCGTTACGAACAGTATTTCCGGAACCCATTACGTATGTATATCGGGGTATCACTGTACTGCAAATCTGATGAGCTTAGCACAAATAACCCCACTAGCAGTTTATGGCCAATTCGGTGTTAAGTACATAATTTCTCATGGCTGCTAAGGGCAGGGCTCGAGGCTTTACCCGCAAAAGAGACAGTCCAGGCCTCTGCTTACATGGGATCTCGTCTAGGTTGTCTGGTACAGTACACAATCTATTATCCGAAACCCATGGGACCAGACACGTTTCATAATTCGGAATTTTTCGGATTCCGTAATGGTAGTACAGTACAGATATACATACCGTATATCCTGCAACTAGCCAGTACTAAAACCCAAGTTTTCAAGAGGCCAAGTGCTGTACCAGTACAGTACAATATGTATGAGTAATGCCAAGCACATTAATATTTCTGCAGTGAACGTTGTGCACCCAAACGCGAACTTTGGTGTGCAAACGACCTCCACGAAAAAAACTCTGTTTTCGGAGCTTTTTGGTTTTCAGAATTTTTGATAATAGATTGTGTACTGTAGTAATATATACTAAATAATACTGTATATACTAGTATTATATACTGTATAAATGACTGACAGACGCGAGTGAACAGCCGAGTTGTTGTTGTCTTTGCAGCTGACTCACGCTGTGATGAACAAAGAGCTGAAGCACTGCTACAATGTAGAAGACCTGGAGGTGAACGAGAGCGTCAAGCACAAGGCAAAGGACTTTGTGAAGAAGTACATGAGCAAGTTCAGCGGCCTGTACAAGAAGTCGGCCAATTCTCCCACCTATCAATTCGACTGATCGCCAGCGGGACTGCGATTTGCTCTCCGCGAGCAATGCAGGTATAGATCTCCTGGTCTGTCACGATTGTGTTTAACGAGCTTGGAATCAACGGCAGGTGAACTGCGCTAACGATCGACAATGTTCTAGGATGCTGTTTGCCGTGCACGTTAGCAGTGCCAGACTTTATACGATGGATGGTTCAGGATGAGCGAGTTTCCCTGTAAGAACACGTCCTGATGCCATCGAACAATGTCCAGATTATTCATTTATTACCTGTTCACCCGATATATCATGCTGTCGCTATATATCTTGTAAAATTCAATGTACAGAAGAGACGACTGACACGTGATATAGACGTTGTGAAACTATAGGTGGAGTACAAATTAAATTCCAGGAAGGTCTGGAATACATACATGATAATAGTGCATTAACATTGCATAACATTGTACAGTAGCCATCTTGTCAGAGGTTATATCCGTTATGCATACGTATATCATTTGTTATTGGCCATGATAAATACTGTACTGTAATATAGGGAAGCACAAAATGTCCGTGTAGATGAACTGTTATTACTTCGCGAACGTAGCTTCCTGGTGAAAGTTCATAGTAACTTCCGAATAACTATATTATCATTAGACATCTTGCGTTTTCGTCGAAACGACTGTAAACAAGAGAATATGATCAATGCATGAATTGTTGATGTTACAATTTATTTGTATAAAGCTTATTAAAACATTGATGTGATTGTCGCATGTATTTTCTCGATGAAGCTTCCAACAAATCAAGAGCACTCGTGGTCCCTAGATATTTCTCAGAGGTAAGGAGTACGATGTATATATTTTATCATTGCTGACATACCCGTCTGTATTTTAACTCGTCTAGTACTGTCTACTGCCACTCGTCTTTTTTATGTTAAATCCGATGAGCCCGAGGTTAGACCTGTGTATTCGAACACACGTGAACGGAGTGTATCATAGCAACATTAGTTCAGGAGATTCCACAGGCACGCGCGGAAATACCATATTAAAAACCTTGTTCAATATCTTGATAGGTCCTTGCATAGCACGACTAATCTAATTCATCCAAACAAGTGTTCTGTTGTTATATTACGAATGTGTCGTCATACTACTGTCCCGGGGAGGGGGGGGGCACTCCCTATATATTGTATGGTAGGTATGTACCGCAGGAGGTACCCCCCTTTTCACCTCAAAATTTCCGTTCTGGAGACCCCCCTTTTCACATATTTTCCGTTCCGGAGACCCCCTTCTCACATTCCGTTCTGGAGACCCCCCTTTTCACATATTTTCCGTTCCGGAGACCCCCTTCTCACATTCCGTTCTGGAGACCACCCTTTTCACATATTTTCTGTTCCAGAGACCCCCTTCTCACATATTTCTCGTCCCTGTGGATATGTTCTACTTTTTTCCGCACGTTCCGAAGCCCCCCATTTTGATGTGCTGAGTTAGTACTGGAGACCCCCAATTCCATCTCTCAAGTGGCACATACCTACCCTGTTTTGTAGGGAGTGCCCCCCCCCCCCGGGACTACTGTATTTTGCGGGTTACGGGGTGGCAGTTTTATTTTCAGAAAATATGTGCAAAACTTGCATCCTGTAAACCGCAACATCAAGGAAATGTTTTTGTCAACGGTATGGTATACTCTGCACCTCCCCAGAATAGCTAGCTTACAGAGTATACTAACCCATGCAAATGGTGATGATGGTTTATGCTATGTATTGTAGGGAATTTGATTGATAAAAACGTGGAAAAAACAGGGGTTCGGCCTTACTTAAGGTGAGCCTATACCTGGTAGCACAGAGTGGGAAATTTATATTAACTTCTAAATTTGCATCTAATGCATCATAGCGTCTTGTAAGCCACAAAATACGGTATTTCTTGCAGTAGTTGCATGCAAGTATTGGCATCTCGTTTAGAGCAATTCCAGCCATTGCACATCGTACGATCTGCAGGTTGTGTCAATCTGTCTCCAAATATCTAGGAAGGTCACGCATGTCCATGGGCAGTTGATACATACAGTCACCGGTATTCCATGCTAACTTTTCAGTGTTTTAGATAGAGTGTGCATCACAGGCTACCTCAATTTAGTGTGAGATGCAAGCTGTTTTCAACGTTATGTACTCTACCCCTCCCCCCTATTATTAGCTCTATGGGTGCTGCACACTGCAACGGTGAGCTATGTGTCTTCGTTACATACTTGCTGTATATGTTTCCAGCATATCATAGCACATGTATTCCAGCTGAACGCTCATGTGGCTGCTCTCTTTTACAATGGCCTGTAGAATTACGGTGTTTGATGTTCTAGCTTTTAGATTATGAAATTAATCCCAATGCAACTTTTAAACAGCAATCGTGCAGTGTGTGTAGCGAATTACACATGATGTGTGTGTGTGTGTGTGTGGGAAATGTACACTGGTATGTTATCATGTCTTGCTTTCAGAAGTACTATTATATGTCTTTTGTACAAGATGCGTAATTGTATGTTGCAAATTTGTGTCATTAGATAGTTATTTTGCTTTTGTAAATAAATTTATGCTCGACTGTTTTATTGTGGGTGCACACACCCGCACACGGGGTTTTCTATGTTTATAAATTTAGGCCAAGTCCAGTGTGTGTGAGGTTGTCAAAATGTGTCCAATGTATAAAAATAAAATCCCTTTTGATACATTATATGTATATAAATATGTGTTAAAATAAATGTATGGGAAATGAAATTAACTACATTAAACCACATGTAGATTTATTCGTTCACATGTGATGAAGTAATAATCGTTAATCATTAGAAGCTGCTATCGTTGCTTCACAAACTATATGTACAGTAAAGGTGTCAGTATATACCTACAACGATGCACTTTACCAGAACAAGAACAAATAAATCATTGGTCGATGGTCGATTTTATTGTCGATGTTACTAGAATTTCTAAATATTTCATACATCTCTTTTTTGAACCAATTGCACCAGATCTTGCGTAAAAAACCCTGATCCAGGTAAATAGAGCAATAATAAAATGTGCCTGTAAGTATTCTTCTACTATCCACCATCCATTCAACAACTAAACTGGACTATACAACAACTGCCAGATGTGCTCACTCTAGAATTGTAAACAAACGTCACTTGCATTTTCAGCAACATGCTAGCTCAGACATCTACACTATCCCACTAGTAATTTATATATATCGAGTTTTCCTCCTACCTAGAAATCAATCTTCACAAATTAATGGCCCCATGTCTGTAAACAATTTTATGCACCCAAATTCAACAAAACAGCTTAATAAATGTTAACCTTAATCGACACTTGCTTAACTAAAAACATCAAAATTGACCATCACTAGAAATTTTTATCAGAACGTTGGCACCACCATAGAAAAGATGTAATGCTGGATTGACTGAGAGGTAGTGACCTGCACAACATACTTCATACACAAAGTTTTCCAGCTAAATGCATTCTTTGGAGAACACATTTGAGATAGAATGAATAATCAGAGGGAATATAAACTACTGAAGAGCTTTTTTGCATAATTTAAAGTAATCATCAAAAAACAATAGTATACATCTATGTTAGGTTTCTCAGGCTTTATACAAGCCTGAAATTTACTGATTATGCACGACAGTTCCAAAAGTTATAGCTTTAAACCATGAATCACAAAATAGTACAGAATCAATACAAAAAACGTAAATTTCTGACAATATTGGGTGAAAGCTGGCATATTTTCTGTAGCATCTCTTAACCATACGCCATTCTCATTTACACAGCTGCACATGTACGTGTGGGCCATCGATTGAGCGTGGTGTTCTCTTTGAATTCATGATTTATGCTCACAATTAATTAATAAATAGCTCGTCTAGGCAAGCCGGTATTAAACATTTGTATAAAATGGTTTAGCAATTCTTTGACCACGCCGAGGTTCTCCTATTCTTCATGTGTCAAGACTTGCTCTCAGTAGTCTGCCAAATTCATCTACTTCCTGGGTTGTTGGATAACCTTTGAAGGCTGGTGGGCTGGCCGTGTGTCGTGTGTAGGCATGGGCTTTTCATGCATAGCTTTCACAGCTTCGGGTGGGAAATCTTTGTTACCCTGATAGACATATATGTATATAAATATAAGAAGATATTTGTCATATTCATATTTTTTAATATTATATTTTCCAACAAGTATAACAATTGAAAACCACGTCTTATTTTCAGGTGAAATAAGTAACGTTATGCTCACATATATATGCTGCTGGTATAGATATATATAATGACTGACAAAGATTGTGGATTAACCAACTGAATGAATAGTGAATGGATCTCAACTGATATTTTAACAATGAAGCTTATTCCAAACAGGCTGGTAGTCGTATATTTTGCCTGTCCTGTTAGACAGGTTATTGAATAAAGTTAGCTGTCATGCCTCCCATTTTACTAGTCCTGGGCAGCCATTAGCAACTTAATTAAAACCAAGACATGATTGTTAGCTTTTATCATTATTTGTTCCATAGTTTGTGCTCTCTAGTTAATTGTTACCATTGTTAATGCATTCTCAGTATACACATTTTGATGAGGTACCTGTAGTACAATAGCTTTACCTCAGTCAATATAATCAAATCCATTAACACAACACTAGAGACTCACCCTAGACATTGCCCCAGCCACTACAACTGTCTGTGCCTTTGGTGGGCTGTAAAAAGTGCATATAGGTTTAGAATAAACAATGATAAAAAAAATGTGTAAAAACTAGTCAGATACACTTCTCACCATTATTATGAGTAGCTATACCATTGTATTGTTTACATATTAAATTTAAATACCACAATTTCTACTGCAAGTGTATTTACTAATTACATATATTTTATTTTTATATTTATATTTACTATTACGTAGCCCATTGTAAAAATAGGCTTACAATAATAAATCATATACCACTTATGATTTATTATTGTTGTTACTTACTTTCCAATGGGTTGACTTATAAAATTAAAATGTTTCCTCAATCTTCAGTGCAACACATTACTAACGTAACATTGGTCAGAAATGTTATTACATTTACTTTAACAATTCCAAGCCAAGATGGCAGTTTTTTTTAGTCAATTCACATTTAATTGTCAAATGAGCAACCATCTCATCCCAAAATGCCCAGATATGGAAATGGCTGCATTTCATTTGAAACCCTGTTTCTGCAGAAATAGGGGCCAAAGCTAAGGGCATTGGGGCATATTTCTGCTTAAATGCAGTTTGGAACGAAACACAGTCATCACTATATCTGGCGATTTTCATGGTACACCTAAAAGCCAGTGGTTATGGGACATTAGGTCTGAGGCACAATAGAAAACCACATTACAGGTCACCAGAATTAGTTGTTGTAAACATTGCTAGATTTTCACTCTGACATGATCCTTGAAGTGGATATAATGACCTTTTGGATAAAATTATATTTTTCAATTATAGTGTAGAACCGTTTTGTTTTTAGGATTGAGCAAACAGGTTAGTTACACAAGTTAAACCACTGTGGTAAAATGTAATCATAGTAAAAAATTCTTCCCGAGTTAATTACTCAGGGCACTGCTTTACAGGAAAAGATTTTACTGAATTTACTTTCGATTTTACTTAGTGAATTTATGGTATATAATACATCTAAAATGACAAGTTACATCAGTGACCGTGACAATTCACTTTTGTTCTACCTTGGCTCTGGAAACTCTTCTTTATCTTCTTCCGACATTTTTTCAGTTTTTTTCACCGATTCTTGGGGAGTTTTATGTTGGGTAATCCTCATACCTCCGGCCTTAACTGCCAACAGAATACATAACATTAAATTAATCAATCACTGATATCGTAACAACCATTTGTTTCCTGATTGCATAAGTAATGTGGATAACATGTGATTTAAACAAATTTCACAATTCTGTACTGAACAAACATATAATATTAATAATGACTTATAACTTGTTTTATCATAGAAAAGAACTGTTAACGATCGCTCGGTTGTGTCCCAGATGTGTAAACATCACTGTGGCGCTACTTTCGTAATACTCTCGTTTAGCATCTAAGCATTTTGCTGCAAGAACATGCCGTTTTAACGCACACATTTGAAAAACACACACACACACACACACATATATATAATTATACAATCGCTATATCATCAAAATAGCCAGGGCTCACTCAGTAAAGTATGTGGTATACACCACTGTCACTGGAAAAACAAATCTTACCAAATGAATTTTAAACATCTTAAATTGTGTAAAAAAAAATTACTCAATTTTATTGTCGTCCCATGTTTTTGTGGACAAATGTGCAAACCATATGTGATACTGATTGGACACCCGTAGATTAAAATTCGGTGTTATTTTTCAACATTTAATAAATGCAATTGATTGCAAATGTTAATCTATGTCATCGTTTCATTTCTGATATGACTTAGTGCACAGAAGTCTAATAGTTATATTAATAAGAACACTACATTTTCTGAAGTGTTTGACAGTGATTGCTGTTTCAATTAAAGTGTTTTACATTGACCTAGTGTACTTCTCAAGTTCTCATTGAAATGAGGGCACCTAGAGGAAAGTGGTAAAAATCGCAGTGCTTGCGTTAAAGGCATACTAGGCCCATTGATTATGCAATGTTGACGAATGCTAGAGTAACTGGCACCTTGTGTAGTTAATAAGTACATAACCTTACATCAAAACGCATATTAGTTTGTCCAATATCACTGCTGGTTACTAAGAAATGTCCAATATCACTGCTGGTTACTAAGAAATGTCCAATTGAAATCCGCAGTCCAAGAAATCAGTTGTTTACAGTTTCAAACCGCTGCCGGCGAAGTGGGTGTGATACAGATTTATAGTGCACTGGACATTTTCGCACGCACGCTCGGCCGTACGCAATGCTATCATCAGTGATTTCGTAAACACGGACGCTCGTGATAAGGAGCTTTTTGTGAGGGCTGTTCATGTGCGTCCGTGATTAGTACGTGTGTTTTACTCCATTTCCATGTTTAGTCCGTGGCCGTGGTTACACCGCTAGAGACTGCACATTTCCGCTTCAAAATTTGCCAAATTTCGTTTCGGAGATTACTAAATTCCACTTCAATTCCGTTTCAGCAAATTTCTACATTTTAATTCAGAAATAATTAAAATTAGGAGAAAACACTGATGAATGCCTGTTTTTTGTGTTTGTAATTTTTTTTTGGATCTGTCATTTTTTTTTGGAGGGCTAAAGTGATGAATGTAAGATAAGTTTTCATAATCATTTTGTGTGTGTTGGGAGTGATTTGAGCTGTTTTAAACTGTTTAACTGTTTTAAAGGTTATTTTTGTGTTTTGGGAGGTTATTTTTGGTGAAACTGGTGATTCCGTTTCAGAGGGGGTGATTCCGTGATTTCCGTCCATTTTCCGTTTTCATGGAAATGTGGAGATTTCGGGGGTCTGTAACTCACAGGAGCAGTAGACTAGAGCAGGAGGGATAGATTGAACTCACAGTATAGATGGAATAACCATATATTGACTAAAGAGAGGATAAAATATAGGCAGCACATAGGGGATCGATCAACACCTGGGCGCAGCCATCTTGGATCATACTATCACTACTACTACTATGGTCGGGGAAAACAAGGAGTGTTTACGCGAAAAGCGATAAATATAATATAATAATCAACTCGGTTATGTACTAGTGGTCAGCATAATATATGAAGAGATTTGAATAGAATGAATACTCTAAGTTGTCGAAGAGAGAAATATTTACTTAGAAACGAGTTACATACGATGATGCAATCATCGTACCAGCCACGGGTTGCGTCAGCAGGTGAAAGCGATTGCACCAGCGAACGAAATCTGCATGTTTTGACAACGCGTGCAAAACAACGGCATGGAGGGGGCGGGGCCAGCTAGGTATATAAGGCACACCGAACCGAGCAGCGTTAGCGTTATTTTTCAGGTCTAGGTAGGAAGAAGAAGAAGAAGAAGAAGCAGAGGACGAAGAGAAGGGAGAAAACCGTTTAGGTCTCGAGGAGAGAGATAACAGAGGGAGTAGAAGGCTAGGTTTTCAGGTAGGTGAAAACCGGAGAACAACGGGAAAGGGGAACAAAACGGAGGAGAAGAACGGGATTTCAGTTAGGTAGAGCCAGGAGCGACTACGAGGGAAACACCCGTAGAGGCTGCCTAGGTCTACGCGAAGCGAGGACGAACGTGAGAGAGGAAGACGAAGCCGGCAATATACGAATGCAGGGGAATTATTTGTAAACTAGTAGGAAGCAATAAAACTATAACCGTACAGTTAACTGAATCTAACTGTGTTCTGTTCCACTAGTACTACCTGTTATTTGCTACGGGCATCCCCGTCCTGCCTAATATAACGGCAGGAGCAAACACTGAATCCAAACAACTAGGACACGCGTTAACTGTGTAACGCCTGTCGTACCGTAGTCGGCTACTCCTAGGGCCACTACAGAAATGTGCAGTCTCTACACCGCTGACACCTCCATTTCATCTAGCGTCCAAACCATATACGGGCCGCACAAACGTTTACGTCATCGGCGACTCATCGCTCGACTCCTGAATGACATTTACAGCAACTAAATGAATATCAACAACCGGTTGTTCACATCATTGTTACAATCAAGTATTGCTTGTAATGTAACCAGCAGTGATATTGAACAAACTAATACGCGTTAGGCTATAAGTATAAGGTTATGTACTTATTAACTACACAACTTCACAACTTCACAAGGTGCCAGTTAGGGTACTTTACTTAGGGTACTTTAGCATTCGTCAACATTGCATAGTAATCAATGGGCCTATAGTCTTTAAGAGGGTATCAACTCGGGATGTCTAGAGGTAATACGGAAGGTCAAGGTTCCCGTATTCACCTCCAACAATTATGTGATGTCTGATGTCAACACCACGCCCACAGGGGGGTAAGTTGAGTTACTAACAGTAACAGTAACACTTATCTGTGTCGGCATTATTGATTTACTATACTAGAACGAAACAAATTGCTAAGCGCCATGCTGCATGCATACCCGCAGGAGGATGACCAGCCTTAAGATCAATAGCATCTCCAGCTTCATCAGCCATTGCGATTCCGATTACGTGGTAACTGTAAAACTACAGTAGGACTACAAGAACAAACGCGAAATGCTTGGAGATGCAACGTGTAACTTTCTGACAGCTGTGGAAGCATGGAAACGTCATCACTTTGCGTGTATTTACGGCCCAGGGTCTCGTGGTCGTAGACTGGCCCATGTCTCTTCAGTCTTTAAACTCTAGGTTCGAGCTGTTACTCATATCACATATGTATCTCAGAGACGCTGTACAAGTCTATACTAGTAACATTCCCCTTCGTTAATAAAACTAATATGTACGATTAAATATTCAAAATTAGTTACATTTTGAATATTTCCGATTATATTTCAATCTATATTTATTTGATCAATCAAATTTATTTTAATAATGACGAAAATGGTTTATTTGCGCGGGAGTAAGACTGACTCCGGAAGTCGTTTCTCGTGTTAAATTACCTGTGAACGGCAAGGCGATATCAGCTATGATGCAGTTCCTTGGGATTCCGCGGCAGTTTCATTTCGCCATGTTCGCTAGCGGAGCGGAGCTAAGCGGAAAAAGGTAGTCTGTTTTTGAATGTTGCAATGTTGTAAATACTAAAATATCCACTCTGCGACGCGTCGTGTGGTCCCGAGCTATGATTATCGCTATTCGTTGCTTCACATGTGGAAAGAAGTGAAGTGGTAACCGTAACATGTGGTAACAAGTGAAGTGGGAGCATTGGTTTGTTTCAGGCAGAAGCCTTCTGTCAAGTTCTGAGAAGGTACCCGGTAGGCTAAGCCCTACAACAAACTACATTTAACTAGATATACAGTATGCACGGTGGGCGACACCTGGAACGTCTCAATAAAAAAAACAATGGTAAATAAACACGAACTGTTTTTACTACCAAAGTCTTAATGTTTCTCTACTCTATTTCGCCTGTTATTGCCGATAAATAGTAAAATACCTGTAAATGCCGGTCAAATGCTCGTCTGCAACACACAAGTAGTAAAGTACACCGCACGCCCTGTGCAGGCTTTCAGATTTGAAAAGTACAGGAGGACTACCAATGACTCGCCTAGGACACCATAGGGGGTATTTTCACGCTACATAATCACACCCTTAAAAAAGAGGCATGATGGAGAGCTCCACTAAAAATCACACCCTTAAAAGGGATGATGGAGAGCTTCTTGAGGACTCTCCATCATGCCTCTTAATTGGGTGTGATGATGGAATCATGACCAATCCTCAGTCTAGAGTGAAATCCAAAACGAAAATTGGGATGTCATGTCAATCCACTGATTATCATTCATCTTCACCTTCATTCATTCAATGGCTTCGTCATGATTACATTCTTTTCATCCAACAACCCAACACTAGCACACAGATTAATAAAAGAGTTGATCGGATGTAAAAATAAACTTGTTTTATTTATTCTGATCTTCATCCTTAGAGACTCTAATCCATGTACCTGCATATTTCAGCACGAAATATCATCACAATCCATCAACAAACTAGCCAAATTACTTGTACGTAGTAGCCACGTATGTAGCCCCTCCAGCCCTACGACTGTTTCACGTCGGCAGAAAACCACTTCTCGCCACGTATAGTGGAAAACGAGCAGGTAACTTGTGGCTACCGTGTAGGTACCTGTATTTGGATGCTGTTGTCTAGTTGTATAAACCAGAGGGTAGTAACCTGTACCTCTGTCATACGTTCAATTACTTACACACCACAAATTGTCATACGTTCAGTTACTAATTACACACCACAAATTGTTGTGTGTCGCTAACTTTTGTAATAATTGTGACAGGTGGCATTGCCAGTATTAAGAGAATTTTTGGTGCGCGATATTTCAACTACTTTTATGAGGTGCGATGATGCACCCGCCAGGGCACAATTTTGGGTGCGCGGTGGAGCGCAAATGAAAGCCTGCCCTGTGCACAAACAACATGAATAAGAGAGAATGGTAGTAAATACATTTTGTGTTTATTTACCATTATTTTTTATTGAGACGTTCCAAGTGCCCGTACCGTGGGCACGGTAGTCGGTAGATACAATAAATGTAACCATCATGATATTCTCATGTGGACATCCTCTAATTTTCAAGGCATCATGGCAAGTACTGAGAGCAGTTATGGCTCAAGCTGTCGCTGCAATGATGAAATTCGAACCCTACATATCTGGTATGAGTGGAAATCCTTTTCATTGGGTTACAGAAGCATATTTATTATATGCACAATGGGATATTGGTTGGCCACACCTGAAAGTTCTTGCAGTTACGCGATTAAAGCAATTATTTAATTTGGGTAAATTTTAAAATGAACTTCGTGATGAACAAACAAAAATAGAGCTTATCCTAGCATTTTTCACTACAAATCTGTTTGCAGAGGTAGTAGGCGAGAGGAAACACAGAGCAAGCAAGTACACCACTGCATGACATTGAAGCAAATACAACACATGACAATTACTGATACATCAGTGGAGCAGAATGGGTATAGGCTTAGAGCCAGAGGGAAGATCACAGGTGCAGCTTTTCTCTCAGAATCAAGATGATGATTGGTCTGAGGACTGCAGTGATGATGACATGTACAAACCAGATGGATCCTTAACGGGTGACTGGCACCCTGACCCCAAGGAAATGTACGGCTTGTATGTGAGAATTGAATCGAACCCCGTCTTGCAACTGCAGTGGGAAAACCCTGGCAGGTAGGTGGGGTAGGGCCTAGAGTTAAACGTGTAACTGCTGCTTGCACCACCTTTTTTCCAATGTAATACGATGCTGTACTAGTCCAGCCAGTTGGATATTTTTATGTCACACATACTGTCTAGTTTAGTGTGTTTGTATATATACTATTGATGTATATTAATCTTGTTACAGTTAGCTTCCCCAGTTGGTGAAGGCTGTTTCTGATGCAGTTGGCATTAGTTTTGAGTGCAATTTAATCCTTTATGAGAACATTAGAGAAGCTACAAAAATGTATAGGTTTAATCAACAGTTTAAATATAAATAATACCATTTAATGAATATTTGCCTTTTCCACATTTATCTATCATATGTTGGTGAGTGATGTTCCTACTTTCATTTTCCATATCCATTGTAATGATTATTTCTGTTTGCAGGAGACCACCTACACCAGAGATTGACCCTAATTATTGTGACACTATACGTACTGAATATGAAAATTCCAATGAGGAGGAGTAAGTATATATGTAATGTACAAGTAATATGTCAAAGACATGTTCTAACTCATGTAAACTATCAAAAATCGACCTGCTTTGTAAATGCGTGTCACTCATGAATAACATTTATTGTTATAATACATAGAATTGAGGAGCCAACTGAATTTGACTTTGATGACGAGAGTGGGTCTGACACGTCTGTTGTAGTTGCACCAAAGTGGATACCCGGTAGGTCAATTCAGAAATAAAAGTACATTTGGCACTGATAGCAAGGAACCTGATTGTTATAAACATGAGTTATAGTTTTTTCATAGCCTTCAACGAATGTACGTACAATCAATCCACACCTAGTAATGCAAGCACGGAACTTGTTCCCCAATGTTTGATGCTAATGGAAACGTAGACGGTACACTATCCTGGTTTGTAATAACGTACCGGTATTATTAGAAATATGGCTATTACTGAAAATGTGATTATGCATTTACTTATTCGAACTGGTCTAATGATGTCATATTCACCGTTCTTGCACATCCCAATATAAACAATCTTGTACCAGTATTTAGTGTATATCTCTGCCACAAGATGGCACTGTCGTCATCTGATGCCACGTGCGTGTTCGCAGACGGTGCGAGGCTGTCGCGCCGCACCCCGAAGAGAGTTGCGAATCTCCAGCATGTGATGAAGGACATGGCCCGTCACAGACGCCTGCAGCAGCAGCTCCTGCAGAACCCAGAGCAGACGAACGAGTGTAGTGCAGAATTAAGTTAGTGATCAATGCAAAGAGCAACATGCCTGTACTGATGGCATTCATGAAGGCCACAGGAATAAAAACAGAAGGGTCAGCACGTAGATAATCATCAGGGGTAAATAATGACACACTATTGTCATTATTATAACTCCTGATCATGATATCGTATATATGCATGTATGTATTATAGGAATCGCATGTATTATCGGTTATTCTGTGGATCAGCATTTGGATCAGACCCAGCTAGGACAGCAAGCCCAATATTAAAGTTAAAGGAACAAATCTGACATTTAGGTGCTTTAACACTCAGTCTGGCATATACGGGCGCTGTGTGTATATGTAAATTCTATCGTACTATTACTGCAAAACCATTTATCTGTGTGTGCTTGGGCAAAGTGCTGCCATGTATATTACCATATTCCGTTGGCTGACCGTTAACGAAAGGGTGTGCAAGCAATATTAATCACTGTTGCAGAGGATTCTGAGCCAAACTAGGAGTGCCCGAGAGCACCTAAATGCCATACATTGTACCTTTAAATGTTTCATTTTCAAAGCCAACAGGTATGGCAGAATAGTTGCTATATTTCCCATGGCCCATATTTGAATGCTATAAGAAAAGCTTGATACGTCTTAGTTTCTTTGTATTGTTTCGTTTGTTGAACAGATGTTTAGTTATTTACTTTAACAATTAATTATGGCATTGTTGGATTAAAGAGTCTGATAATAATATCAGAGAGCCTCATGTGTTAATGTTACCTCATTTACAATTATCTCCTTGGATTCAATCTACTTGATAGCAGTATATACTTGCTGAAAGTATATAAGATGTATAATTTAGCGCGAACGTTATCGTGACCTATGAACATGTTTTACCTGTATAGTGACAAATATTAGCAATATTTTACAATAATTGGATATTTAATAAATGTATTATTTCAGAATAAATCTAGCAACATCATGTGTCTGTTTTCTGTTTGATCAAGTTGTGATTGTAATGTACCATCGCTCTGCTCCTAAAAGATTGACTATCCTGTGATTGTCAGGCCTTTGTAAGTTTGTAGAGATGTATCGTGTATGCTATGATTGCTGGGGCACACTGCTGTTCCTTTCGTATATCACGGTGGCGTAGCCTAGGGGGGGCACAAGGGGCGCATGGCCCCCCTGTTTGATTGGCAAAACAAAAAAAACAAAAATTTTTCCATTGCCTCCTCACAGACGTGCTTCACCAGGACTGGCCACAATGTCTGTTATGTCTGCATGTGCTGAACGAACATTCTCTAAAATGAGCATTTGTCAAGTCCTAAACCTTCCGTTTCTAAGCAATGACAGCCAGGCCACGATTCTTCTGCTCTCATTCTTTTTTTTCGTTGAACAGGAGTTAGTGATGACATTAATGTCAAGCTGAAATACCTGCAAAATGTTCTGCTGCATAATCGCCGAGGACGACTTTGACTTTGGATTTTGCAGATTTCTGCATGCAAGACAAAAACATGACTAAAAAAGGAGAGTAATTCTTCTTATGCTGCAGATTTGTGTTGTTGCAAGTTGGCTTTGATTGAATTTATGGTTCTGAACTCTATGACAGAGAGCAAGAAATGGAAATGCTTTGTGAATAAACTTTGATATATGAACTTATAGACGGCCATTTTGGCAGAAACCTCGTTTTATTTCAAATGCCCGATTTCACACTAATTTACGTCACATGTTCTCTATCAGGGCGAGGCAAAATCATTCTTATTCATGGTAACATTTCCTTTTTATTTTAATAGACGCGGCTCATTTGTGGCAGCACCTTGTTTTTATTTGAATCAAATTCAATATGGTTTGTTAGTTCTTCATCAGAGAACAGCAAAAACCAGTTTTTATAACGAACAAAATGTTAAATGTGATCTTTAACGCTATTGTATTTCTAAACGACGTAAATCTTTTGATAATTTAAATAAATTGCATGTTATTCTGTGCAGTTTCCAAACGACATCTCCTGTTTTTTTCCCGTAGATCTTTATTTCCGATTTCATTCAATCTGTGCTTACTTTTTCAAGAAAATAATTCACTTTTAACTTTTATATGAGGAACTTGAACCAGTTATGACGGATAAATGCACCTGGCATGGTAGCTGACTAAGCACACAAATCAAACTCTTCAATATTCCGTCCAGGCTTGAATGAGGACATAGGTGTAAGCTTAAGGGGGGGCCACAGGAGTCATGCACCCCCTCTTGATCGGAGAGTCAAAATTAAGAGAGAAGGGCCCTTAATGGATTGGTCATACCTATTACCGTATACCTAATCATGCAAAATGAATGCGCAAAAAGCCGATTTTGATGGCCACTATTTCAAAATTACCCTAACTGTGGGAGGGGAAACCGCTCCCCCGTTGAGAAAGTTGCTTCATCGCTGTCTTTGGTCCGCTTAAGCTCTTTTCTTCCTCCCGAAAAAACACTGGCTTCGTCACCATTTTCCACCTGGTCTAGCTAAGGGTCCACGCATCTGGTCGTGTCGTGTACCTCATCAGAGGCCTTTCCGGCGCAACCAGCGCCAGGGGCCATCGTCCCACGTGTGATCGATCGGAGGGAAAAATAAAAGCGAGGGAGGGGGGTTATAGGGATTAGAATATGCTCACTTCGTCATATAAGTTAGCCCTAATTACTGAGATTTTATTGTGCAGAAATGCATCTTTCATGCACGAAGTTTCGAAGAAGTCTTACTAACCGTGGGAGGGGGATACCCCCCACAGCCTACCGCCCTTCGGATCGCTTCGTCCATGGTCCTCCTTGGCCCCGCTGAGTTCCAATTGCTGGACTACGACCAACTGTCAGACCGCATGAAGTGTTGCAATAATTTGGCGTGATGTTAACTCTCGTTGATCTTGGCAGTCCTTGTAGTATGTATGCCTAACTTAAGGTGTAGAGGGAGAGAGATAGAGAGGGAAGCAAGAGAGAGAGAGAGAGAGGATGAGAGAGAAGAGAGAGAGAGAGAGAGAGAGAGAGAGAGAGAAGAGAGAGGACGAGTGAGAAGATAAGAGAGAGGAGAGAGAGAGAGAGAGAGGTGGAGAGGAGAGCAGAGAGAGAGATGATAGAGAGTAGAGAGGAGAGAGAGGAGAGCGAGGCGAGAAGAGAGAAGGAGAGAAGAGAGAGAGAGCGAGAGAGAGAGAGGTGGGAGAGGGAGAGAAGAGAGAGATTAGAGAGGGAGCAAGAGAGAGAGAATAGAGATGAGGGAGAGAGAGAGGAGAGATGAGCGCAGAGAGAGAGGTGGGAGGCAGGAGAGAGGAGAAAGAGAGCAAGAGAGGAGAGAGAGCAGAGAGGAGAAGAGGAGAGATAGAGATAGAGAGGAGAGAGAGAGAGAGAGAGAGAGAGAGGAGGTGGGAAGGAGAGAGAGAGAGAGAGGCACGAAGGAGAGAGAGAGAGAAGATTGAGAGAGAGAGAGAGAGGAGAGAGAGAATGAGAGAGAGGGAGAGCGGAGAGAGAGAGAGGTGGGGCCGGAGAGAGCAGAGAGAGAGCAAGAGAGAGAGTATGAGATGATGAGAGAGCGAGGAGAGAGGAGAGAGAGAGAGAGGAGAGAGAGAGAAGAGAGGGAAGAGAGCGAGAGAGAGGGAGGGAGGTGGGAGGGAAAGAGAGAGAGAGAGCAAGAGAGAATGCGATAGAGATAGAGAGAGAGAGAGAGAGAGAGTAGAGAGAGAGAGAGAGAGAGGAGGGAGAGCGAGAGAGAGAGCAGGTGGGAGGGAGAGAGAGTAGAGAGAGTAAGACAGAGAGATGAGAGGAGAGAAGGAGAGAGAGCCAAGAGAGAGAGAGAGATTAGAGATAGAGAAGAAGGAGAGGAGGAAGAGAGAGAGAGAGAGAGTAGAGAGAGAGAGAGCGAGCAGAGAGAGAGAGAGAGAGAGAGGAGAGAGAGAGGGGATAGCGGAGAGGGGTGGGAGGGAGAGAGAGAAAGCAGAGCAACAGAGGAGAGTTAGAGATAGAGAGAGAGAGGAGAGAGAGAGAGAGATTCGAGAGAGTAAAAGCGCGCGAAGCAGAGCAGAGAGCAAGAGAGAGTAGAACGAGAGAGAGAGAGCGGGGGAGGGGGGTGGCGGACGATGGGATCAATATCGTAAGCTAGGCTGCCGCCCATCGTCCGCTATTGTCTGAGTCAGTGAGGTGCTGAGCAGCCGTCTGTAAACTCTATCACTAGTGACACGCACTGAGCCGTGTCTGCATCTCTGCACCTCGCACGACGTGATCTCTATCACAACGTTGCTATGCTGTTGTGCAGTCGCGTTTACACTGACGACTTGCGAGTTGGCGCGACTCCATCGAGCGGTCAGCGTCGGACCGCGAACGTAACGCGTGGGCGTTGCGATATAGGGTTAGGGGTATTAATTATATATATATATTATATATAGGCGGGTATCGGGATATATATAGTATATATATAGGGTTAGGGTATATATATATATATAGTAGATATATATTAATAGGGTTTAAGGGTAATATATATATATAATATAATATATGGGTTAGGGTATATATATATTATATATATATATATTATCAGATTTAGGGTTGGGTATGATAATATATATATGTATATAGCCCTAACCCTATATATATCATATATTAATACTATCCCTACACGCAAGTGTGTGGTGGTAGGGGTTAGGGTAGGGTGTAGGGTGAAGGTTGTATATATATATATCCTAACCATATATATGATATATTAGGGAGGTATATATATATATATAGGGTACGGGTATATATATATATACGCCTCACCCTAACCCCTACCTAACCCTAACCCCCTATCCCCTAAGCAGCACACCACGCACGTACACGCGTGGCGTGCAGTGTAGCACGCGTGCGTGCACGTAGCACCATGCGTGCACATACGCGCGTGCGCGTGCACGGTACACGCCTCGTGCGCGTACAGACCATGCGTTGCGCATACACGCGTGCGTGCACGTACCGCATGCGCGTACACGCATGCGCGCGCGTACACGCGGGGTGGGGGGGGGGGGGGGTTGGTTGGGGGGGCGTGCCATACAGCGCGTGCGGTGGCACATACAGCGCGTACCGCGCCCTACACGACGTATGCTCGCAATACACATGCAGCGCATGCGGTCATGTGCATCTGTGCACGGCGCAGATAACTCACTGCCACTATTGTAGCGCGGGCCGCAGGTACACGCCCGCGTGTATGTAGCACGCATGCGCGCGTGCATCATAGGAGCTCGGCTGCACCGATCTGGACAAGACCCAAATGCTCGTCGTGGCAACACCGGCATTCCGATCCTGTGACGTGCACGAGTCTTTGCGCCCTGTGAGTGCGGTAAGCCTCGGCTTTTATGCATCATAGAGTTCGTGTTAGCTCCCTCCTTGGCCTGACCCGCAGAGTTGTTATTATACATCATCTGTGAGTTCTGTCTGTACGGAGGGGCGGCATGTGCTCTATCGTGTCATCGTTATTGTGTATTGTTGTCAGTTGTTGTTGTTTTGTTTGTTCTTTGGCGGTTCTCTGTTTGGCGGCGGCGAACGGAGAGGAGAAGCAGGGAGACGCTGAAGTAATGTTGGGGATGCGGATGCGGATCAGCGCAGTGGGATTTAGAGATGGGTGGCGGCCGCATGATTAATGTTGGTGATTACGGGTTGCAGTAACTCTCTTGCCTCGAGTCGTGTTTCTCTCTAGACAGTTTTGTGTACGCCGGGGTGTACTGGTCCTTATACATGTTCGCATGATTGTTATACAATTGTTATCACGGGTCATTGTTATAGCCAATGGTTATCGACGATTCTTATACTGAGTGTTACTCGGACAATTCTTCACATGGGCACCACGATTGTTATACAATGTACGTTAAACACTCAGAATGCACCTGGCGTGCTAAGGGGGCACAAGGGGCCGATGGCCCCCCCGACTGTTGATGCAAACAAAACAAACCAAAAAATTTTCGCCTTGCTCTGCACTGCGTCTTCACAGGACTGGCCGA